TAGAGAAGTCAACATACATTCAATCGGCGTATACCAGTTACATTTTAAAATCTGTCTCATAGTTCTGTTGTCTATTTTCTCCATTTGATTTATTTCATATTGCGGCAGATTAAACAATAAAGTGAAACAAAACTATAAGTGTGGGAGAGTAATAACATTATGAATTTGTAATTTTGTATGTACGGTGAAATTTTTACTTATTCGCGTTATAAAACCGTTTTTTTGGAAATTTTCGCATTATATAATAAGCATGAGCTGGAAAGTTTAAATTACAATCCAATATAATGCCTAAGTATTTAATTTCCCCATTATAAACAAGATTTCCACCATTCACAGCATTGTGTACATTTTGGATTTCCGCTTCCCTAAGTTTTGATTTCTTACTAAATATGCAAAATTTCGATTTATCGGCATTCATAACATAGTTTGTTAATAGAGCCAATTAAAGATTCGTTCTAAATCATCATTTAAATCTTTCTGCATTTGTTGTAAGTCTTCACCTATAATATAAAGCATTGTATCGTCAGCAAATAGCATAATTTTACACTTTATTGTAACTCAAACTATACCATTGATATAAATCAAAAATAACAACGGCCCCAAAACTGTTCCTTGCGGTACACCATGTTTAACACTAACCGGCTCGGATTGACAATTCTTACAAGATACACGTTGAACTGTATTATCCAAATATGACTTTAACCACTTTCAAACAGTATGCTTGATTCCTATATGCTCTAATTTACTTAATAAAATATCTCTATCTACTGTTTCAAAAGCTCTCCTAAAATCTAAGAAAACGGCTAATTCATGTTATCACATATACATGAAAACAAACTTCCTTTTTACATCGAAATTGTATTAATCCGAAAACCGACATTATGGACACTCCTTTGCCTTGAAGTCGAGAATGTGTAGAAATATAAAGTTTTCAAGAAAACAGGCGATTGAATTTTTTAAATCCACTGCCTTAATTATCTACAAGACAATTTTGTCCACACTTCACGGACCTCATGTCAGTGAAAGTTTTTAAAATTCCAGAGGTGGTAGCTGACTCTGAAACACATGGTTTATTGGTTTAAGATAACTGTGCCGGATTACGACTTTTTACAGTTCCCATCCAGATGAGGACGCAAAATTATTTCTAAAGAGAAACATAAAAAACTATTCTTGGGTGATTAACATGGTATCTGGGCACATTTATTATACAAGGTGTCCCAATTTTTATCCACTTGTCAAAGTTGATGCTTTTTAACACTACGCTACTCGCGTGGGGTATTTTGGACCCCGCGTTGCACTGATTTGCTCACCGTTTTGTGGTGGGGGAGTCAAGGTAGGAATAGCTTTCGCTAATCTTTCGTGGCAGTCTGCTTTCTGATATGTGCAGTGTTGTACGTGCTTGCGTGATATATTTACGGAACTGCGTAATCACAAATAATTCCCGGGGTATTTTGGACCCCAGACGACTAAATTTGTTTGGACAAATTATACTTGACTTTTTTTTAAATTGTTGTTTGGTAAGTAGTCAAAGGTATTTACTTCAACAAATTTCGTTAAACGTAGTTTTTATATTTAGAATTCGTCAAAAATGGCCAGCCGTAACCAACAATAATGGCTTAAACGAAATCGAAGAAGAAGAAAATAATTCATCAGACTCTGAAGAAAGCGATGATGAAAAGATGTATTGGAATACGCTTCCCACCAATCTGACACCGAGCAACACGCTGGAGATGAAGATGTTCAGCTAGAAGTACAATACAATCAAATGTGGACACCAATGGAGGAGAACGAAGAACCGATAGAAGAAGACAAAGAACCGATAGAAGTCAACGAAGATTAATCTGAGGACAATGATGGAAGGGTACCACAGTAAGTCGGAAAGGACAAACAAAAAAAAGTGGAATGAATTTCCTGGTCCCACTAGCAGGACAAGGAGACATAATTTATACTAAGTGACATACAAATCCCAATACCCAGTTTAAATGGTTTTATTTCAATAAAAGTTGGTGAATGTATTTATCTTACTGTAAATAACAAGTGAAAAAATTTTCAGCCTTATCAGTTGGACATTCCGGTTTTTATACTGCTTCTTTTAATTCACTAACGCTCTAAAAATGAATATTTCAGCCGCAGTAAAGAATCAACGTTCGCGGATTTTGGTTCTTGACATCCTTATCGGTTACGATGCCTAGAGTACGGAGACTTGTACGATTTCGTCAACTTAGTGAGTTTGATAGGGGCCGTATAGTGGGACTTCAGACTTTAGAGTGCAAAGAAGTGTACACTTTGGTTAGGTGTTGTCAGGCATGGCTTCGAGAAGGCCGTAAGCAAAGAGCAAGGGGCACTGGACGCCGCCGTAGAACAACAGACCGTGAAGATCGCCGCCTAAGATTATTGGCTTTAAGGGACCGTTTCTCCACTACCAGGTCCATTGCAAATGAATGGTTTGCAGAACACGGAAGACCTATTGGCATGCGAAGTGTTTACCGACGAATGAGAAGTTTTGACTTGTTCTCATACCGGCCACACTGGGTCCTCCCTTTAACTCGAGAACACCGACGTAATCGCCTTGAGTGGTGCAGACAACGGTCACTCTGGGATCAGGAATGGAACAGTATTGTCTTTAGTGACGAGTCTCGATTTTGTTTAGGCATGCACGATGGTCGTGCCAGGGTTAGAAGGCGACGTGGTGAAAGGAGGAATCCACAGTTTTTTGTTGAAAGACATGTTCATCACACTGTTGGAGTTATGGTTTGGGGTGCTATAGCTTATGGTTCCAGGTCACCTTTAATCTTCATCAGAGGTAACATGAACGCGCAGCGTTATATCCACGAAGTTCTAGAACCCCATCTTTTACCTTATCTTGACACCCTGGCAGATCCAACTTTCCAAATAGATAATGCCCGACCACATGTTGCAAGAGTCACAATAGACTTCTTTCAACATAATGATGTCACATTGTTACCATGGCCACCAAGATCTCCCGACTTATCCCCAATTGAGCACGTGTGGAAATATGATGGGTAGGAGATTGCTCAATTTGCAACGTCCTCCTCAGACTCTAGAAGCACTTCGAGAGGAGTTGGTGGTTGCCTGGAATGAGATACCACAGGAGGACATTGACCACCTGATCAGAAGCATGGCTAGGCACGTTGGAGAATGCGTAGCACATCAGGGTGCATCCACACATTATTAAAGGTCAAAGGGCTTTGAAACAGTGCAATCATTTTGAAATTTTTATCATTTACTTATTATGTTTCATTAAGTACTTAAACAAAATTTTATTAAAATAAAACCATTTAAACTGAGTGTTCGGTTTTATATGTCACTTGGTATAGTTCTCAAAGTACCAGGACCTATTGGAATTGCGAAAAATGCTAGAACCATACTAGAATGTTATTCAATATTTATCGATGAAGATATAATTGATACAATCGTCGTATGTACAAACATCTACATCGATAATATTAAAATAAAGTATACACGCCACAGGGATGCAAAAAACACAGATACCTGTGAGCTGAGAAGTTTTCTGGGTATCTTATACTTAGCGGGGGTACTAAAATCTGGTAAACAGAATATATTGAATCTATGGAACACGGACAGAACTGGAACTGATTTCATATATCTCACCATGTCCTACAATAGATTTCGTTTTTTGTGTCGTTGCATCAGGTTTGATAATATCCATGACTACCAGGCGTGAGTTAGATAAACTCGATCCAATAAGGCAGGTTTTTCAAGAATTTGTTCAAAACTGCAAAACAGTGTTTACTCCAAGTGTGTTTCTCACAATGGATGAGCAGTTGATTGCATTTAGAGGACGATGTTCGTTCAGACAATATCTGCCATCAAAACCTGCCAAATATGGGATCAAAATATTTGCGATGGTAGACCCAAAAACCGTGAATACCATAAATATGGAAATATATGCTTACAAGGTTAGTAATGCAGCATTTGACGTTGTAAAAAGAATGGTTGAATCCATAAAAGGTACAAATAGAAATATCTCTATGGACAGGTGGTTCGTAAGTATTCCATTGGCCATCTAGTTACTCAGAGAAGACAAATTAACCATTATAGGTACAGTTAAGTCGAACAAAAGGGAGCTTCTACCTGAATTTGTGAACACTAGAAATCGCCCTGAAGGAAGCAGTATGTTTGGATTCCAAAATAATCTGACTCTGGTTTCGTAAGTCCCAAGCAAATACAAAAATGTTTTGGCACTCTCAAGTATGCATCATGATGAAGAGACAGATAATTCTACGAGAAAGCCCGAGATCACTATGGAGTATAATCGTACCAAATTTGGAGTGGACATTGTTGATAAGATGTGTTCAGCATATAACGTAAGCAAGAATTCTAAGCGTTGGCCATTCGTATTTTTTTTTCACCTGATGAATATGGCTGGGATTAATGCATTGAATTTATATGTCGCGAATAAGAACCCACCGTAAGACGACACTTTTTGTTGACTTTATCAAAGGAAATAATTGCACCACAAATGAAAATGCGAATTTACAACAGAAACGTGCCACATCATATTAAAACTAAAATGTGCTCACTTTTGAACATCGGAGAATTCCCAGCAGTGGAGGCCTAATATACAAATGAAAGCGGGATCATCTGTAAAAGGACGTTGCTGCTTATGTGATCGGAAAAACAGAACAGCTTGTTTCAAATGCAAAGGTTTGGTATGCAAGGATCATTATTATGTTATTTGCAAATCATGTTTCACAAAAGAAGATGACCAAGAAATTATTTCTGAATGATGAGTTCTCATCATTATATTCTTCTTTTAGTCTTTATTATAATTGAAAACTATAATTTGGATTTGTTTATTATGTTAGAAAACGCTGTTTTATTATATTTTCTCTTGTTCTGTTTGATAAAGTTTCAAAAAAAGTATTGTTCTACTTTTAAATACTGTGCTTGTGAGAGCAAGGCAAACATTCCGAAATGAAGAACAAAGAAGAATATACTTATGTATTTTGATAATTGAGCTATTGTGTATATATTATATATTTTTTTTCAAAAGATTTTGATCTCCGTCGGCTCAAACGTAGCTTATCTATTTTTTCAATTTTCTGAATGATGTACTTTTCCTGAAACAAGTTTGATGTCTTGGTAAAAATTGTGACACCTTTTATAATTGAGAGTATATTATAAATCTGCCCACAGATACCACATATTTATAGTAACCAACAACTAGTTCTCTTCGTAAAGTTTCTGTTTAGAAACAATAATACCCCGTCTGGCTTCATTTATTAGGCAAGTCTTACTATAAAAGCATCCCGTGTTTTTGGCCATTATTCCTTCCCAAAACAAATCTTGCTCCAAAATGGCATACTGTCACGTACTGCAATACTTCCAGAAAAAATCCACCAGATCAATTTAAATATTTATACAATACTGTCAGTACCTCTAACTGCTTTATTCCCTCGACCCCTGTATTTTTGTATCTTTGAACCTATTCTTCTATGTGCACTTGTACGTCTTCCACATATTTGATCTACAGCCCGCATATTGGTTGTTCCCACAAATAAAAGTTCTTCCCGAGACCCTCTGGGGATCTCGTGTTGCAGTATTAATACCCCACGTAACGTGCCTACGAACACCCTCTGCTTAGGCATGGGGGATATCCTTTATTTGTTCCAATGTTATGGCTGAGGGAGACGGCGGTCTCTGTAACACACGAAATATTTAAGAGGATATTTGCTCAATTTCAAAAGCTGCCTTATAGCGGTAGACCATGGAGGGAAAATATTCAGACTTTCGTATCAAAAACGTTTGTTTGGTCCATATAATACGTACCCTGAAATCATCTGCAAGCTCCTTGTTTACACTGGAAGGCTTTAACGCACAAATTGGGTCTCTCTGTTGACAGCTTAGCTCTCAAATGGTAGGAGCGACTTGTGTTTGATTTCACTGGTAAATAGCTAAAATATAAACGGAATAAAATTAGCCAATTTTAGTTAATCTTATTGTGTTAAACCAGAATATGCCAGGTAAGAAGCCCTTTTAGCTCTGGTTTTACGGTACCTGTAATTTATGGGAAATACCTGAATAGCCGTATTGAAGGCGGAAAACACCCCTCTCTAAGAATAATATTAGCGCCTAATTGATTTCTAAATAACTTCATTTATTTATATAAGTATAATACCATTTACCTTAAAAAAGTTAGTGTTCTTTCAATCGCTGGTTAAGGACAAGCCATATTTTCTCGAAAAGTGAATATACCGCGCACTTTTGTAAATAAACAGGACAATTTTTGTTACGTTTGTGGTGAACTGACTCTCTAGGCCCAGAAACGTAAAAAGACTCCCTCAATTACAAAAACAACATTTATATTTTGGTTGCAAAATCGGAGACCAAGATGAGAGTTACGCTCCCCATATAATGTTGTATGTAGTAATTGCGTCAACAATCTTCGTAATTGGATTAACGGTAGAAAACGATCGATGCCATTTGCTATACCTATGGTTTGGCGTGACCCAAAGACCATGTCGCGGATTGTTATTTCTGACAAATATCTCCGATGAAGCAACGTATCACCAAACAAAAGAAGAATGCGTTGATATAGCATTCCAATTTGGAAACGGCGATTCGTCCAATCTTTCATAGCGATGCTGTTCCTGATCCACTATATGAGTACACCGTATCTGAAGAAGAGTCAGAAGGTGATTCGGATGAAAATTTAGACCAGCTATCGAAATCAGCAGCCCGAGATCCAGGCTTTTCTTGAGAAGGAGCCAGTGGAGCAACCAGCGTGAATTAAGGAATTGGATCTATCGAAGGCAAAGGCAGAAACACTAGCCTCGCGTTTACAACAATGGAATTTATTGCAAAAATATGGTAGTATGCAGTGACTGACATCCTGGGAGTAACTAGCGCGTTAGACATAGACTATAACCAAGAAGAATGGATGCTTTTCATAGATTCTTCAAAACTAAGTCACAAGGCTGTTTTAATACATAACGGGAACAAGTTACCATCCATACCAATTGGACATAGTCGTTCATACGAAGGAAATTTATGAAAACATGAACCTACTGCTTGAATCTATAGAGTACAAAAATCACCAATGGCAAATCTGTGGGTGATTTAAAGGTGATTTCGATCTTGCTTGGTTTGCAGCAAGGTTATAAAAAATACTGTTGTTTTCTTAATGAGTGGAACAGTAGAGCTCGAACTGAACATTATAACAGAAAAGTATGGTCGCCAAGAATCGCATTAGTACCAGGAGACAAAAATATATTAAGCGAACCTCTTGTAGACCCTAAGCAAATATTACTACCTCCTCTCCACATAAAACTTGGCCTTATGGAGAATTTCGTTAGAGCCTTGAATAAAAATGGGAATGCTTTCACATATTTAACACAAAAGTTCCCCAAAGAAAGGCATTGTCATTGGTCCTCAAATCGCAAAGCTCTTTAAGGACCCACATTTCGAAAAAGTTTTGGAAGACGATGCATTAGCTGCATGGAATTCTTTTAAAATGCTGCATTAAACTTTTTAGGCAACAAAAAGGCAGAAAACTAACACGAGCTAGCAAAGAATCTGCTAACATGCTATCACTCCCATCTAGATTTCTTTCCAGAAAGATCCAAAAATGTGAGTGATGAGCACGGTGAGAGGTTCCATCAAGAAATAGCATCTATGGAGAAACATTATCAGGGGAAACGGACGGCAAATATGCTTGCGGCCTACCATTGGAACATTATAAATCAGTTATAAGAGGCATGCTAAAACACTTGAAAAAACTTGATAGTTGTGAATTTTGTCTTTTTGTTTTATACTTTTGAACTCCAGAACTTATGTTTTAAAGTTTTTTGACCCACATTACTGTAGTAAATATGTTTTCCTCTTTTAGGTAGCTTTTTCATATGTTATAATTCAATAAAGTGTATTAAACATGCTATGACTGTTGTTTTATTTTCTTGAGCCAACAAAATATTTTATTGTCCATTTTAGGAGTAAGTGGGAGCTAAGCAACAGCAAAAATCAATTGCCATTCAGGATACAGACAAAAAGCTGAAATTTGTCGACCAGTGTTTTCTTTCTTCTGTTTTACAGGTAACTTATGTATGATTCTTGAAAAATTTTGTTTAACCGTTTGAAAGCAGCATTGCGGAATTGAGCCTAGGGTCTCAGGGTTATGTTTATAAACGTTCTTTGAGGAATGATCTCCCTTGGATTCAAACGAACAGTCCCGCTTCCTTGATGAACGTCCAAGAAGGAATTTAAAATTGGCATTTCTTAGTAGGCTGTTCCAAAAAGTGTTTCCTTGCTCGCCGTATCTATATAGAATTTTGACGATAAATATCGGATGGGTTGGTTTTCTAAGTTAGCGATAAAACATATCACTTTCTCGACTTTATAGCGAATAGCGGCATCACACAGCGAATTGGCAACCAGTACCTACTGCGTTCATCTGCACTGCTTGTAAAGTGCTCTCGACGGCTCTCAAATGGTTGGAACAAATTGTGTTTGGTTTTCTTTCTCTTGTTTGACGGGGTAACCTATTCTTATAAATATATAAATATTCTGACAATAACATTGCGGTGTTGAGCATAGGCTAAAGACCAACTATTTTACGAAGCGTCTTAGGGTGATGTTCATAAACGTTCTTTTAGGATTGAGTTCAGTGTGAAGAAGCCAAGAAAGGATTTGAAATTTGTATTTCACCGTAGGCTGTTATAAAGAGTGTTTTCTTTGCTGGCCGTATCTATTTAGAATTTTGATGATAAATATCGGACCGGTTGGTTTTTTAATTTGGATGTTAATAAACAATGCAAACTGTCAATGAAACGTGTTTAACTTACTTCTGGCGAACTATCCTGGCAACCAGGACTGCATTCATCTGCACAGCTTGTTGTAATTTCGACGGTCTGAGCTTCTTTCATGATATTGAGTAGCAGTGAATTAAAAAAATCGAAACTGAGATGATGGCATTAGTACACTTACTAGAGAAGCTGAAATAAATAGCTAAATAAAGCAAATAGGTAGCTTCTCTATTTTAAAAAGCCGTACATGTGATACGATTTAAAGGATTCAAAATTAAAATACAGATAAATTGCATAGGTTGTGGATCATTAAGCGAACGTAAATAAAGCGCTTATGTAACACCTAGGCAAATTAATGGATTCTTCATATGGTCGTTTTTGATAAAGCTATTTTATAGCATATATTATTCTTCCCTCCGTAGATTATTTTTAAGTTCACTGTGCTCATTATTGTAAAACATCGTCGATAACATCACAAGGTGTAAGCAATATATTTAAAAACTTGTATATTTCGCTCAAACTGTCAAATGTACTCTACAATGGATTCCAGTACTGTTTCCTTACATAGTAGATGCTGTAGATCCGTTTTTTGGTTGAAATTAAAAATGCAAACACCTTTCATTACTATTTTGTATTGTTCAACATTTAGCGTAACAAAGAACCCTATCGTCCAAAAATTATCAAAGTGCTTTTTACACCCAGCAAAGAAGGCATATTGTAAGTGAACATGTATCAAGGGATCGTTGTTGTACGTTTAAAATGGAGAGCGCATTATTCAAACGGCCCCGGATCTTCAGGAAGCTTTTATGAATGTAACCCTTATACGTTTAAGGCGTTATTGTCGATCTATATTTTGAAACATGAATATTCGGCCCGTAAAACTTTGTCGGTTTCAGATTAGATGTCATTACATGTCGACATCACGTGATATTATTGTTAAGTAACATTATCTCCCCTCAAGGTCTTTTGAATTTTCAATACAGATTTGTAATATGACTCTCACATTGTTAGGTTGGAACACTCTGTAGATTCACACGTTCTGAGAAGTGCCATATGTTTTCGTTGCGGGAGAATTAAGATAAAAAAAGCAAGAGTGCTACACTGGATTTAAGATAAACATTTATACGACCTCAAGTATAGTACACCGTTGGTATTGTAAACAATAGCGGCCAAAGACCGAGTCACGACGCTCCTAGATCGCTTTGTATATTTTTTACAGTATCACTCACACGGGTTCTTCGAGCAATACTACAAAAATAGAACATGCTTATGCGGTGCCAATCATGGGCCTATGGCTTTACTAGTAAGATCAAACGAAGCTCTTTTAACATTTCGTCTACCCGAACCAAACCATGACTCAGATTCATAGACGTTGAAAGCTATTATTACTTACCGAATATATATATAATATATTTTGGCATAATAAAGGGTGATCCATCTGTTTGTTAATTTTTGAAGTAGGGCGTATCTCACCGCTGGCAACACTTACATCAGTTATGATTTGACAGGGATTTAGTAAAGAGTCTGCGGTGAACGAATATGGATCGATATACGCTTGAACAACGTTGGGAAGCGCTAAAAATTTAACGCTTCGACGAAGACCCAGATTTTTACCGTAAACTCATGTTTTCGAGTGCGGCCCATTTTCATTTTCAATAAGCAAAATAGCCAATTCAAATTACCTAGAAGCCAATGCATCCGCAACGCGTGACAGTTTGGTGTGGTTTGTGGTCTGGTGGCATTATTGGCCCTTTTTTGATGACGAAGGACGCGCCGTCACGGTCATTGGTGAGCACTAACGAAGCATGCTGACTGACCACTTCTTTCCGAAAACCAATAAAAAGACTTGGAAGACGTGTGGTACCAGCAAGGCGGCGCGACCTACCGAGAAACAATCGCTCTTCTTCAAGAACTGTTCGAAAATCGGTAATTAGCCGTTTTGGTGATGTGACTTGCCCACACGGAAGCTGCGATTTAATTCGGTTGGAATATTTTTTGTGGGGAATCGTAAAAGATAAATACTATCTGGATGCCAGAGCGACGATTGAGCACTTCAAGACTAATATCAACCATTGTTGGGACAATGCCGCAGACTTCGGAAAATGTACTGAAAAATTGGGTCGACAGAATCGGCTACGTCAGGCTCAGCCATGGCGCGCATGTGAATGAGATTGTGTTTCATCAGTAACCGGAAGGATAGTACTCTCAAATAAAAAAACCCGTTTGGAAAAAGAACTATGCGTTTTCATTTTAACCATCGATTTAAAAATTAACCAACAGATGGATTACCCTTTATATATACTTTATAAGTGCCTGGACTCCTGTAAGCATTTTTAATTATTTCATCACATGCAGTAGCTTGAAGAAATATGCGTTTCTTAGTGGATAATAGTATTCAAGTTGTATTTCCAAGAAGCTGAAGTCAAATCCTCTTTACCTCACATTTTACTGGCTCTCAAGAAGATTGTGCAGCCAAGAAGCGTGTATGAGTAAAGGTGTTCATAAACCACCACACCATCACGGGTTTTCCTGTGAGAACTGGTAAGCTCACACACTAGATAAAGGGGTGCACAATCACTTTATAAGAAACACCTTTCTTTCAAAATACTAAGATAATTCAGCTCAGCAGGCAAGAATTCGAGTTTGTTTCCATTAACACATTTATCACTTTTCTTTCTTAATGATAAAACTTCTCGAAACACTAATTATTACAAATTATAACTCAATACTTAACTAAACCATACTAGACGCAACTTTCTTCGAAGATAGATATAGTATCAAGCCATTTAATTGTATATACTATGAATGGCATTTTGGAGTAACATAGTTTCAGTTCTTCGAACACGAGTTTTAATGTCTACAAATAATATTTTTACCTAACTTTCTCAGAAAGAGGTTTGTGTTCTTCGACGTGTGTACCTATGTGCACAAGAATAATTCTATTTCACGGGCTACAGCCTGAATTGTTTGAAGGATTCTGACATATTAGGTGGTTATATTCGTCTCAGCTGCACTAGCAACACAGGATATATTTAAATTTTATAAAATCAATACGGCGTATTTTGAGTGAAAATCTCATCTTCAGAATTTCATGGGCTACACCTCTCTATTCGTCATTGTCTGTCAAGGCGGTCCGTACGATCTCTGCCTTTGTGTCAATGGGCTTCAGCTTAAGTGACTTGAAGGATTTTGACATACGAGATATCTCCAGATTTGTGACCTTGGGCATGCTAAACCGTTATAAAATCAAAATGGCGGGTTTTAAATGCTTACTTCAGCATTGAAATTTCTATTTCACATCACTTCTTCATTCTTTTAAGTCATCGCACTGAATCTAGTTTTTTGTATTTCTCTAGTGCACTTGATTTCGATAATATGTTTTCATGGTCATTGCGTGACCACACTGCTCCCAAAAAATGAAAAACCTACCAGGGGAGGCGATGTTTGATAAGTCCATGACATATTATATCATCATGATATATGGACTCCTTAAGGATCTTATACTGCAATAGCGAAATCTGTGACATTCGAATTTTTTTCTCATTTTTTCGGTCCGTCGACGCTACTCCGGAGTAGTGCATTATGGTGAATGTAATTTTAAAGAAGTCTGTAGCTTCGGAAGCAAGGTATTTTTCCTCATGGTAAATAAGAAAATGGGAATATTTCAGAGGTAGATTTTTTAGGTTGTACTTAAGTGGAACACTGCGAGATTAGATTCTTCTGTCTACGCTGGAGTAAAATGTCTTCAGCATAATACATGTATGCTTTGATTAAGTTTTTGCTGGATCACGCAAGGCCTCCTCAATACCCAATAGAGAAGGTGCTAGTGTTTCTGGAGCGTGTGGTAAAGAAGACACTGTTCTTGTGCTTTATTGAAGCACTTCATTGTTATTCTAGCAGTAGGGCATATTATAGGTATTATCTTGTATTGCACGCATACTTTAACTGTATAAAAACCGATCACCGATGTGATAGCATAAAATAGAAAGTAAGTTGTTGTCTACATGATTGACAAAATAATGCTTCGATATATCGTTCTGCCATCAAACTACCTCTACGAGGAATTAGAGGTGACAGCACCATATGTTATGGCGACATAAACCATAACTGCTACTGTATGGTGTACGTGACGTTGGAATAAAAACTTCTACGAGCAGTTTCTGTTAGAGCTAGAGATCTCGATATATCCAAAAAATACAAAAACCTCATCGTTCGCTACTTCCTCAAATGCTTCAGAACCCCCTATTTTTCAACAAGATATTGTCCATTTCACTAGAACTATAGTGAACTGCCTCAATAATGCACAAGTTAGCCTCCTAGATCTAGTATCGTTCGCCCATTGACTATATGTGAGATATGATGGAAAAGTGACCAATGTATTCTTACTGTTACTAGATCCTAGGCTGTGCTCGCGCAGCAGTAATGTGAAGTATAGGTCGTTTTGCAATAGTGTGAACGAGATTGGTTTTTGAGAAACAAATGCATTGCAATATCCATTGCTATATCATGCATTTGTCGCGGGTTTAGGCTAGATGTAAGTGTAATGACATATTGAGCGGAAAACCGCAAAAACGCTAAAATTAGCGGCCCGCTCGAAAACCGCCTGCAATGCAATGTCAATGCTCAATGACATATTTCGTTCCCTCCGGCCGCTGCTATCGGCGGCAAAATTCAGCCCGCGTCTTGTCGGCGGGAAAGCGGTTTGCGTTTTGCGGTTTGAGTGGGGGAAACATACACAAACTAACGCCTGGTGACAAATAGTTGTCTACTGAACCGCTGCGGGTTGCGATTTGTAGTGTGTTTCGTGATTTCGTCGAGGAGTCTGCAGAATCATGTCCACAGAGAACCTCATTGAGCTCGTTGAGATGCATCCTTCCATTTGGAACAAAAGTTGTGAGCAGTACAAAGACAGATACGAAAAAGAAAAGGCTTGGATCGAGATCGCCCGAAGGATCTTCCAAGATTAGGATACACTTGGGAAGAAAGAGAGGAATAAAAAATGTAAGTTGAAGGTACCAAATAATTATAAAGGTTAATAATTGAAAGTTAAAAAGTTTAAAAGCGAATTTAATATAAAAAAGTCGATTGTTTGTTCGTATATTGACTGACTAGCATTTATTTTCACCACATGAAAATTACGATTAAATTTAGAGACAAATCTTTCAATTCTTTTTGGCATAATTTTAAAATTACTATTGATGTGCATAAGTGATGTTTTCACTTAAAAAAAAGACTTGGCAATCAAAATTTAATAAAAATAAATAAAACGAAAAAATAACGCCTTCGAACACAGTTTTTATATGGACATGGGACACGGTATTTACCTAAAATTTTATTCTTATCATTCATCGTTTTTTATACCTAATTTTTTTCCGGGCAATGCCGAGTTTCTCAGATAATAGGTTGGTCATTTAGTTGATGTTATATCATCTACAGTATATATAGTCATTTGCATCTCTTTTCAGCACAACGGGCAATTTCGACTCAGACACTTCAGAGGAAGAGGGCCACAACGAATCTGACATAGCCACAACTTCAGCGTTATCACTATCAGAATCCCATTCACCCATTTCATCCCCACACCCAGAAAACTCATCAACTCCAAAACCTAGTCGACCTGCCAAGATGACTCCTTTTCAAGAATCCCTTATAAAAAATCTCAGTCAGGCATCATCATCGATTACCCAAGCCAGAGTTGACGAAGATGCAGATCGTTTGTACCTACTTTCTTTACTTCCGGATTACAAAGCGTTATCTCCGGGGCAAAAGTGGGCATTCCGTGAACACGTAGGATACTTTTTCCGTCAAACTTTCGTGCCTCCAGATCTACGCCTCCTCTGTCATTCCAAAACTACCGAACCACTTCAACACATTGTCCTCAATACTCCTATCAAGAACATAGTTCACTACCTTTCTCTCATAACATAACCCAACTTCAGAAACCCCCACAGCCACCGCAAACCTATCAAACATCATCTTGTAACATAGCACAAGAATCCACTCAAGTCACATTCTCTCCCAGTTCGTCTTCCCAATCACAGTAACGATATTACTATATTAAGTTGTATTATCAAGTATTTTGTTCACTTTTGATTTTTTTACAAATAAACTCGAGTTATGATTATTATTGATTATTTGATTGTAATTTAAAACATTATTTATATAATATTTAAAATAAATAAGAAGTTATATATATGTTTGGTTACCTGAGTGTGACAGTCAACCTTTCTTCTGCGCTAATTGGCTTTTTGAAAGAAGTCTCCTGTTTCGTAATAAGTGGACGTAGAGCTCCAAGTAGTTCATCGAATGACGCAATTGACATGCGATAGTACTCAAAAAATTTATCGGGATGCTTTCTGATGTCTTCCAAAAATTTGGGGCACTTCCTTGAACGTTCATTGTTATACGGGTGCACTGCATATCTGCGACTTCGTGGTTTCTCCAACAGGCCTTCAGCTTCAGCAGCACAAACAGTTGCTACGTTAACAAAATGTGCGAGCTCCATACTTCAAAGCTAAGCTCTACAACTGATGACAAAAGTAGAATGTGGCCATTCAGGCCTCTCCCCCTTGTCGCGCCGCCATCCACCGCCGCGCGGGCGACAGTATGTCATCAGACCAGAAAGCGGTTTTCATTCCCGCTACTTTTGGCGTTTTGCGGTTTCCCGCCTAGTATGTCATTACACTAAGATAAAACACCTGTATCGCTGGACAATCACAGGTTGAGTTGGGAGATGGCTTCTGCGCTGTTGCCGGCTTGACGCTGTGGCGGAGATTTTGGTACGTTCCCGACAGGTGAATATTGAAAAATCGACGATGAGATTGCGGATACAGTCATGCTTATAACCTTGGTCGGGTATTAGTTAGTAAGTGTACAAATTTTTACGTCTCTCCGTCCTGTGGTACAGACGTGATGCTGACAGACTGGACAGATAGTCACATTTATATATAGACGGTTAACTTAAGAAGAACGAGAACAGACATTGACATTTATATGTACTGATTGAGTCTAGACATGAGGAACACCTAAAAAGCTGAGTCCGGCTTACTTTGTTGTAGCCAAAAATATGGTGAGAGGCATATAATTTAAGCAAGGTATTCATATTAATGCAAGCGAAAACCACGTGAGCCACTGACTTATATTCATGTCCATGAAATGAACGTTTATTGTGCGGTGTTACTTGAAGATGGCGGAAAATATCTATCTACATGCTTATGCCCTGAATACGCTATAGTTTTCAGCAAAAAAGCATGTTAAAAATGTCATCGTTCAAAAGAGTCCGAAGACGTCATAAGTGAATGAAAAAAATTTGAGATATGTTATATTTAGGGCTGATTTCATAATCTAACAGACCTTCAAACATACCCAATCAGCCTCAAGAACTCTCCGTCAGATGGCAGCAAATAGCATCAAAGTATTCAAAACAAAGCACTGTAAAATATGAAGTGATAGGTTGTCATTAAAATGTTAGTTTATTAAATATTGTAAAATTATATAAAATTGAGCCAAAACCTTTAAAAAATGCTTGATGAGTAAAATCCATTTTTTCAGTTTAGCTGAAGGTTTATACATGTTTATTGCAACTTTTGTAATCCATATGTGATTATACTAACTTAACATCACCTACCGTGTGTTTATAATTCATCCTATATTTGCAAACTTGCACTTATAAACCCTTACATGAAAGAGCCTTTTCACTCAAATTTTTGTCTGGTGTTGCGTTTCAACACATTCATACATTTCTTTCCAGTTCCTCAATATTTTGACACCACTGGTCCGAAACTGTTCAAGATTTTCAACATTCATACATACAATTATTGCAGTTGCAGTTTTTTGTTTTGATTTCAGTGTATAAGCAGCCGCACCATCGGTGATGGTACACTCAACATATATATTTGGGGGTTATTGCAGATTTAACGTGTACACGACAGTGTAATATGTATGTAATTCTGCACAAAAAAAATCTTGGACGGAGCCCTTTTTATACGGAAATTTGTTCTTCAAAAATTACATTTTTCACAAATACCTCGACGTCAAATAACACAACAAGTGACCACAAAACATAGACTACAGTGACATTGAAGAAGGAATATAGACCACAGAAGATCGATTATCGATCACAGGATGGAATGGATGCACTGCGTTGCCATATTTCGCCACTTGAGAGATGTATAGTATAGTCACATCGTGGTCGAGTGATTTTGAAGTACATTAACATGTGAATCATACACGTGAGAGCTCAAAAAATTTATTACAGTGAAACAAAAATCAAAAGGATATAAAAATTCTGTTTTATATACAGGGTTGAGTCATTTATTTTAACAGTGAGTAGATCTGATCAAAAGAAATGTTTTTTTCCTTTACCATTTTTCTGGTAAAATTAAAGTAACAAAGTTATAGCCCTTTGGAAGTTTGAGTACCGCCCTGTCTCAATAATAATATCATGTACTCGTGTTTGGCAACAACGGATATAATCCACCTTATCGGTTCATCGCATGGGAAACAAAAAAGCGAAAGAATTTGGAACGACGTTTTTATTTCATTCAGTTCAGTTATACATACATTCAGTGTCAGTCGCGTGTGAATAGTGTCTGTTGCGTGGCTCAAACGAAATAAAACATGGCACATGTTTATGCGGATCGGTTTCCCAATCGAGTGCAACCAACCCCTCGTGCCTTTGTTAATGCAGTACAACGGGCTCGTCAATCAGGTGACTTAAGACCTCACAGGGCACCTCACGGTCAAATACAGGTCCGCACTGAAATACTTGTAGGGAGGATACTTTATAAAACAAGGTAAAAAAAAATTTTTATTTTTTTTTTATTTTTACACACATATTTTGGTTTATCTTCCTTCTACAATCATTATCTGAAAATTAATGACTCAACTTCAAAGTCACCCTGTATATATATATATATATATATATATATTATATATATAACTTGAGACGTGGTCATTGTCGTCTAGACCAGTTAGGTGAAAAATTAAAGCTTCCGCCTTTTGTTGGGTACTTCGACAAAATTTAAGCAAAGAGGACTCTTTATACTTTTTTAATTCTCTCTAGCTTTCAATGGACTTTGCCATCATCATCAGGAGAGTAGTATGTGAGGATTTTGCTAATTGTTGTTTACGTATAGGATGAGGGAAACGTCCAGTAACATGGTGAAAGCTGGATAGATGGTACAATGGTCAAAATTATATAAAATATGTCAAGAACATTCTTCTTGTCTGAAACAGCTTTCTCATATCTTTGTCCTTTCCTATGTTATTATGTTGAATATTCGAAAAAAAAAAGAATTGTAAATCACGAGCAAACGGCATTCAAAGATATAATTTAAGTGACACGACAGCAGAAAACACCAACAGGAGTTGCTTCTGGCCGCGAGTACCTAAATCTGACTTCTAAAAATGTTCCATGCGTGTCAGATGGAATTCTTATTTAACCTTTTCTTTTGGTGCCTGAGAAAAATGACTTTCCACACTTGCAGTGCGGTGAGTGTTCAGTTATTTTCGTCCACCAATCAGTATGGATGAAATGTCCCATCACTGTCCTATGAGTGATCTTATAACAGCCTGTGTTATTGACATTGCTATTTTAACATTCAAAAAAGCACTTATTCGTGACGATAGCGCAAATTATTAATAACACATTCACATATATAAAACTTTAGCAATCTCAGATTTATATGTTGAGCTAGATACGTTGCGGGGTATTATTGCACAATCTGGCAACCATGGCGCACCCTCAGAAATGGCCGCTGACATGACATAAGTCAGGCGAGTTGCCATTGAATAGCGTGGACCGTGGAATTAAACTTCTTCAGTATATATGTTTTGTGTCCCTACCAGTCAAAAAACTTGACCACCAAAATTTTATTACTATTTTAATTTTTTAGCTCTTATTTGTCAGTAATTACTAATAATTTTAGGTCTATGACTATAGTAATTCCATTATGCACCACGGAGATGTCGGGATTTACACGTTTTACAGATACCGGTGTTTTAGGATGGAGAGTACATACTGTTTTGATTGCTTTTAAGACATTCAGTAACCCATAAATTGATAATAAGTGATTATTACTATGCTGCAACGAAAGATGAGGAATTGGTCGGAATACATATCATGTTATTTTTTCAAGCAAAATACAAACAAATTCGCATATTTCAACAGGTATGTAGCTATAATGATAACATATAAACACTCAGTATATTGAAGTTAACCAATTCCAGATTGCCATGCATTAACAAACGACCAAACCTGCTATTAAATTTATCAGCTATTATTTCTCGCACTCCCATTGGCTAAAGGTATAACGGATGTATTATATGTAAATTTATAAGAAAAATCAAAATACATGTAAGTTGTCCTGTTTTCTCTGTACAAAAGCATCATGTTGGAATCAAAAGGTGCTCTTGTTTATAATACAATCGCTGTTTCAATTTTTATATGGTATAATAATTCAATAGAAATCACTGATATTCAGAGAGCTTTGACAGCTTCCGTTAAATTGCATTTCGATAAGGTCTTTTCCCATTGGTCCAAACCGATGGCCAAATATTAATGATGGTGAAATTGGCTCTCAATCGTCTTTATTGACGCGATCTTGCTCTAGACGTCTATATGCTGTATCCCACTCAACATTTTCTGAAGGTATATCTGTGATGGCAGCATATCAAGCGACGTGACCTTATCTCTCCTACCTCAGGCGATCACGTCACACTTGATAGAGGACATCTCTGGTTACGTCAACGGGACACAGCTATCCAAGACTATCGCAGAAGATATCCAATTAGGCCTTTGAGACAGCATTCCATATATACATGCCATGTCAGATGCTGTGTTTGCCCATCGATGTTAATATATGGATCCAGATACGTTTAGTGCGTGTCGCTGTAGCGTAGTTGATCCCTAATGAGATTGTCCTGCAAGATAACACACGTCACGGATGATTCATGGAAATACAGCCAATGTCTACCCTTAACAAAGCCGGTCATACTAGGCTGCTGAAAATTTGATGGTTAAACTTTGTTTAGATGACTGGCGTCCGACGTGCGTTCACTTGACGCTTGCTTTGAAAATATTCACGGCTGTCTATATGGAAGCGCGTGACCCTGACTGACTTGCTGTATGGTATTGAAATGGAAGCCGAAATAATTTACCACAGGTCTTTTCATTAATTACATTGAAAATGAGTCTGCGATTTCAGACAGCCATTCCAGGTTATATTCAAATAAGAGTTACTGAAGACAAACATCTGAGATTTGTTCTGGATGCTTCACCTGTAATTAGTGATCATAATAAAGACAATAATTATACTATCCTACCATGCAACGATTTTACGACAATCTGAAGCAAATGAAACAATTCGTTTCTTATGTTCATATATGTACTCGTATTTGAAGGCTGGGACAGAGTGTAAGGTATACACTTTCAGAAAGTCCGCATCATAAAATCCGAGTGAACCCAGTATGCCTCTCATTCCACATTCATTCTCATTGACCAAACACAATAAGCTGACCCTCGATTACATAGTCACACTGTACATAAGCATGCCATCTGAACTACGAGCCAAAAAACCGCGTCGGCTTGCGACATCTAAACTAAGCCTGATGGTAAGTTTCAAATATAACAAGTTGCAGGAACACGTGGCAATGGCAAGTTTAGCAACATATTTCTGCAACTTGTTTAAAT